CATATTGTCAAACCCACAGGAGAGTATCCATGTGGAGTGGCGGGAAACATAATATCCCACCGGTGCATCCCATAGTACTTGTTTGATATTAGAATTAGAGCTTTTTGTGAACTAAAGAACCTATGAAACAGTACCTCACACAAGTCAGACACGAGACAGGAGAAATCGGAGGAGAAATATTTATGTTCGGCCTAATTGTTAAAAGCAATCAAAGGTAATCAAAGCAGTGCTCACCAAAATGGGAAATGTCAGTGTTTTGGGAATAGATCATTTTTCTCACCTTCACAGCATTATGTATTCCCACATCAAGTATAAACAGATTAAATGCACGGTAATTTGTGGTAATTCCACTAACAACCTGATTGAAATCATACAACTGTGTTTAGACAAGGGAACTCATTTTAAAAATCCAATTCGAGTCAAAGCTTTCTTCCAAAAATAGAAAGCAAAACCTTTCTAAATACAGCTACGGTCTGACCAAGACCAACCAAAAACGCAAATCTAATGGCCACCCAAGTACATTTCACTGTCCCCAAATTCAACAGACAACACACCACAGGTCTGGAGAAACTTGTACTGTTCACTTTTTAGTAGCATCTTCACCAACATGTTTTCAACTAGATTGTATAGCACACAGCCTCTAATTGGAAGCCTTTATATTTTACACCACAAAGCCAGTCATGAATGAAGATGCTCCTCTGTTGCTCTCTGCTGGAAGTTCTGTCACACTGCAGCCTGCCCTGAAGTGAACAATTGTCATCACACAAAGCTACTTTTGAGCAGAAATCGAGTGCGCCTTTGCGAAAAATAGCTCGACAGAGTGCTGAGCAGAATTAGATATTAGTATAGATCTCTCTTTTAATTGTAAGCTTTCAGGCACAATCACAATTTTTTTAAAAAGAATCAACATTTGGAATGTGCTATATGCCGACAAATAATCCTTGCATTTAATACAAGGCCTTTCCTTTGGGGAGGATGTTTCTAAGCGCTTCACGGGATTCACTATAAAGTGTAGAGACTGCAATTCTGTCAATCTGTGAGGTGCTTGTGTCGGGAACCTCAGCTTTGAATACAGTCAGATTGACACAGTATCAGTTATTAGCTTTGTCAATCTGAACCCATCAAGTCTGTGTGTATTTCCTATAAAATATCTATTTTCCCTGGCTATATAATATGAACATGACCTTGTAGATCAGGGAGCAGGTTCTCTCATCCAGTTTTATAGGTGGGTACATAAACCATTTGCTCTCATTGAATTCAAATTACAATTGGTTTATTATCCTGCGGAGTCCTGTAGCTTAGTAGTTAGAGCACTCGCCTTGCAAGCGAGACACCTGGGTTCAATTCCAGGCAGGGCGACACCTTGGGCAAGTTTCCTCACTCCACACGCCTAATAATAACCCCTCCAAAATAAAAAACAATAATAAATTGGTCATTTTCAATCCACGGCTGTTTGTGGGACACTGCTGTGCGCAATTGGCGTTTCGCCCACAAATATACGGTCAATTCACTTTACAGTCTATTCTGTGAAGCACTTTGAAACGTTGAGAAGACGTGAAAAGCGCTATATCAAATGCAAAGATTATTATTATTATCACAAAAATGGCATTCACAAAGTTTTTCTCCTTCACCAGCTAATATTTTTCAGGATTGCATTTGTTTCAAAATAGATTGCATTTGATTTAAAATTGGGATTCACATACACAGAACAATAGTTTGCATTCCCCTGAAACAAAACACAAACGCATAGGTTTAGGCTTGCAAAGAGCAATTTCAGAACAGACACCAGGATTTTTTTATTTCCTCAAAGGGTAATTAAATAGAATGGATCACCAGGAAGGGTGAGTGAAAACGTAAGTGTGGGTATTCTAAAAGCTTGCAAACAAATGGACAGATGTTAACCACAGAACCCATTTCATGATTCTTGCTTGCTGAAGGGGTGAGAGTAAAGTATCCAGTTGGGGGTGGGGAGGAAGATAAATCAGCCAAGATATACCTATCCAAATCACTACAGTGTACATTCCTTTGGAAATGTGTTAATTAGCTTGTACCCAGATCCCCAAGGACAGGCTCCTTTTGCATAACTGGGGAAGATGTTATACATTTTACAGGAAACACCATGTTGGTGTTGATTGGATGTAGTGCAGCTTGGGATCCTCTGATGGCCCTGTTTTGGCTCATATCAAGATTGACTCGTTGGGCAAGGTACCACAAGGCAGCCAGTATCCTAAGACCAGAGTACCCAGAACTGTGTACATGTGTATGTCTAGCCAGTACTTACAGCTATGAATTCCAGTGCTATAACCCCGATGCTTCCTTTCTCATCTAAACAGATCATCCTGACTGCAGGACTCACTTCTTGCTTGTGGGAAGGGGGAGAGTAAATTATCAAGGTTGGGGGGGCGGTGGTGCTATTTTCATTTAAGCAGATATTTTGAATGAAAACAAAGCTAATCACTTTTTAATGCTAGTTGCAGTTGATTTTTCCCTCCTTCGCCCGAAGGCATTAAGACCACTTGAGGCACATTCAACTGCTACCTTGGGAGAGAACTAGACTAACAATCAAACCCCAAATTTGAAAAACCAGGGTAGTCCAACCTTTTGGCTGCCAAGGGCTGCATTTCCTATTTGAGAATGTCCGCAGCCGCATAAGCAATATTTTTATGCTTCTTTCCAGAAACATAACATTTACACAGTGCCCTTTTCACATTAGAAGGACGTCTCACATCAGAGGGACTGGTTGACACAATCAACCAGTCCCTCTCTTCAGGCTGTCCCACGCCCCTCAAAACTGCACTCAAAACTCCTCTACTTAAAAAACCCTCAATCCTTGCAACATCACAAACTTCAAACCCATCTCAAACCTGCCCTTCCTGGCCAAAATTATGGAACGCGTTGTTGCAAATCAACTTCGCTCCACTCCCTATTCGAATCCCTCCAGTCCAGTTTTCGCCCTGCACACAAACAATAGACAGCCCTCATCAAAGTAATAAATGACGTCCTCTCTCCCTGTGAACAAGGCTTCCTCTGTCTCCTCATTCTTCTGGACTTCTACACCGCATTCAACAGTCGATTACGCCATCGTCCTCCACTACCTTTACTCCCTCATCCACCTTAGTGGGACGGATCTGCATGGTTCCGAGTCCTACTTAACTAATCCACAATACATCTCGGCAAATGGTTTCTCCTCCCTCCCCTATCCAGTCATCTGCACGGTACCCCAAGACTCCATCCTTGGTCCCCTTCTTTTCCTCATCTACACTCCCTCTCAGCGATGTCATCTGCAAACATGGGGTCAACTTCCACTTCTAATTCTCTAGCTGCGACTCCGTCCGCTGATGTCCTGTCATCAAGGCATGGATGAACGCAAATTTCCTGCTGCTGAATGTCAGCAAGACGGAAGCCATACTCTTTGGCTCCCGTCAACAAGTTCTTTCCTGCGGGTCTGAATTCCTCAACCTGCCCGGTCTCTTCCCTGAGACTCACTGAACCCGTGCACAACTTAGGCATCAGGTTCCATCATCAGCTTTCCTCTCTACCCACATCCCTTCCCTGACCAGGATTGCTTTTTTCCACCTCCGTCACATTGACTGCCTCCGTCCGTACTTCACAACAAAAGCAGCCAAAAACCTCATCTACGCCCTTGTCATTCCCGGTTAGACTATTCCATTACCCTCCTCACTAGTCTCCCCAGTTGCATCGTACACAAAACTCAACTAATTCAGAACTCTGCCGCCTGATACTCACCCGCACAAAACTCCGTACCCCCATCACACCAGTCCCTGCTAGGCTGCACTGGCTCCCATTTACAAAACGGATCAATTTCAAGATCCTTTCACTCATTTTAAAATCGCTTTATGCCCTCGCACCTCCCTACCTATTCGATTTGCTTACCCCCTATTCCACTACCCGCTGCCTCCGCTCAGCTGGCTCCAACCCCCTGTTCGTCCCTCGTCCTCGCTCCTCCACCATCAGTGGCTGTACCTTCAGCCACTGTGCCCTGAAACTCTGGAACTCTCTCCCTCAATCCCTTTCTTGCCCCCTCCGTCCTTTCAAATCCCTCCTTTCTGGGTGAAAGAGGGAGCTTTCTGTGAGGAAACTGCACGGCACGTTGCTCAACATCTGTCCTCAACCCCACCCCTCGGTGGCCGAGGGATTCTCTGATTAGTTATCCTGACAGTGGACTACGAAACACTGCCCTCACTTTTCCTCTCATCAATCACTCTCTCACACTCTCACTCCATCTTCCTCCTTTCAATCACTCTCTTCCCTCCTCTCTCACAGAATCTCTCTCCACCTCCCCTCTCATACCCTCTTTCTCTCAATCAGCCAGGTGGGTCACTAACTGCAGCAACAGAAGCTGACGGTTGGTAAGGATGCAGTGGATGAGAACCGCGTGACTTCTTGACAGACTGCAGTAACGGCCAGCATTATTTCCACTAATCAGGCCACATCCTCCCAACCAACGGCACCTGCTCTGCCAAAAGACGATGATTCACCAGGAAGCGAGGGAATGGGCAGCCATAAGTTGGAAATGGAGAAATCATCCACCAGGCCAGATGCAGCCTGCCTGTTAGACAATCAATCTCAAATGGCTCTAAATGCATATCTAGAAGAGATAAGGTACAAAGAGACCAACAGAAATTAATATAAGTTAATAATAATCCTTGCATTTAATATAGCGCCTTACAGTATCTTCGAAAAGTCTCAAAGCGCTTCACCGAATATACTGTAAAGTGAATTGACTGTATATTTTGTGGGTGAAATTCAGCAGTCAATTGCTTACAGCAGTGTCCCACAAGAGTCATGGATTCACTGACCAATTATTAAACCCCAACCAGTTACGATAGTTAGTGGTACTTTAAGATTTGGAGATAATCACTCTACCACCAGAATCCCGAGTGCACTATATATAGTTAAAAAAGAATTTTTTTAAAAATCATGGATGTTTCTAAGGTTCACACAATAGTTAAATACAAAACAAAGATACCATACTCAACACGAGTGTAAAGTGAAAGTATATTTACATAAAATGGGCAAGGTTGAGGAAAATGCCTACAAAGATAACCACTCACTCTCAAAATAAATGCAGTAACAAAACAGCAAAAAGATATCCTTTCCATGACACCAGTAAGTCAGTACTGATCATCTTAAGTGTAGAAAACTGCATAGGTATGTATTTCTAATGATCCTATCTGAACTGGGAGGGGGGTAGACAATGTGATTATTCCTCTTGCAATTTAGTGCAGTATCCCAGGTACACATATTTACCTTGTATCTGAAGCCATATGTAATTACAGAAGTTTGTCTCCACCCTTTCTCACTGTCGTTAACTGAGAGCAGGTAATCTGCTAAAACCGACATCGCATTCCCCAGGTCGGTATTTCACTCCCAGCAACTGAATTGGGAAAATAATATTATATTTTGTTGCCAGTTAGTTTCACAATTAGCAAATCTAGATTTTGAATACTTGTGCATTTAGGATGGTACCAGCGGTGAGACGACAATGTAAAAAGTGTTTGGGATATTGCAATTACAGTTCAATAGAACAAATAGCAAGGGTTGATTTCTACACTAAAAATGCAAAACTAACATTCAACAGGTTACTGCCAAATTATCTTTTCATATTTTGACACCATACAAATAAAGATTTCCTTTGTGGCTACACAAACTGGGTACATTGGAGATACAAATAAATGCTGTTAGTTCAGTGCAGATCATGAGGTTTTTTGTTTTTTTTCAAATGATGCACACATTTTTCACACATCTTACTTACTGCAGTCATACCCAAATACAATACAGTACATGAATCAGTACAAAAAGATGTATATATATAATGGATACACATTTAGTTTTTTTTTGCAGGGGAAGGATACATGGAGTTTTACATACAGCGGTCCAAAATAGGACAGTATCCAAAGCAATCGTTTATATTACATTCTGCTCTTTAGTTTCCTGAAGAACTGATTGCAAAATTGTTTTCTTCACTTCGGTTTTATCAATACAATAGTGAATGTGATGCCATCAAAGCATTGTCTCAAGGCAGCACAAAAGATCTGCAACAGGATGGCATACGATTGAATAATCCATACTTTAAATTGGCATCTTTGCTTTTAAAAGAAATTGCATTGGGTGTGCAGAAATCAACAGTACAATTGCTTGAAAAGGTATTGCAACACATAAGATACATTACATTAAGGAGTACCATTAATCTGTTAATGGTCTCTAAAATGCTAACCCTTTTGTATAGATGAAAGTTTTTTGTTTCAACAAGTTATTTCATCAATTGACCATATTATGCTTCCCTTATGATAAATGGTAACAGACAATGGACAAAGCTGGAAAATAGCAAAGATTTACCAAAAATCCCAAAGCACTGGAATAAAAGTATAAATCATGCTACAAAGTCTGGGGCAGGGCTCTCTCCTCTGCCCTACATCTTTAAAATCCACTTGAAATGCAATGTACTGCATTTGAAATCAGTTATCTTTGAAGCAGTTACCTGGATTTATGCCAATACAGTAAAACAAGTTACAAATATTTAAATGTGTGCTAAATTTCTCATTTCATAACAAACTCTCCCAAGACCTGCTATGGAAATTTTGAGACGTGCTACCTTATTTGGTCATGTTTAGCAAGTGGAGTGGTTAAGGATCAACATGCACAGGAATTCTAAGTGTGTAGCATTACGTACTAGCACTAACTGACTCCGATGTGCTACAAAACCACTATGATAGTAATAGCTTGTGACGGTAAACTGGCATCATAAAAACTACTTTCTTAGAGGCAGGGAGCTAAAGAGAGATTTGCCCAAAAGTGAAATACAGTCAAGCCTGTCTTTAACCACCTCTCAGGGGACTAAGCCAAAGTGGCCAAGTGTGCGAAGGGGGCTGTCCGAGGCTGGTCATTTGAACAGGTTTCACTGTACATCATCCCTGACATCACAGTATACTGCAATATGTAACCTTTTGCAGCTGGGATACAAAACCATGTGATATGACAAGAAAGATCTTGCCTATTATTGGAACAAGTAAGCGTAACAGCTAGTTTTTTCGTTACAAAAGTCTGAATACAAATATGCATTATTTTCTACAATACAAAAAGTTACCATATGCATGATTTTTTTTAAATGTTCTTCACCTTTGTAGAAATGCTTTGACAAACCATTTAAATATTCACATTGTGGTAAACTTCATTTAGGAACACATCTGTTTACAAAAAAAGTCTGTGGGCTACCAACAGAATGTGCAAATATTTCAGTTTCAAGATGAATCATGGTCCATGCTGCAGCCAAGGGCTTCAATATCATTACTGATATCTGAGATCATTCTGTCCCATTCATCACCTTCAGAAGGCACCGACTGGTCATCTGAACCTGCAGTAGCTCCATTGCCATTCGTGGTTGAATTGGATGCATTACTTAAAGTCCTCCGGTATCTGCCAAAGCTATCTGTTATAATGCCCCTTCCATCCTTGACACCAATGGTTTCTAGGAAGTTTTCAAAATACAAGCTGTCCTTTTCAGGTATGAAAGGTCGAAGTCCTAGATGAAGAAAATGGAATAAACTTAATTGAAAGTATTTGTAAATACAAAGACTAGAATTGTTTATAGTTTGCTTAGTTAATCAGCCAGGCAATAATGATTTGTGAAGCTGTTAGATGTTTCAGCATGATAAAGGACTACACAAAACAATAATCCTTAAAAATATAATCTCCTTAGAAGCTTTCAAGTAATTTGTGTATTAAAGGAAATCTCAACACTACATAATTTACATTTGCTCACAGTTGAGATGAAATGTTTTACAGCTATTTATCATGTTCAAAGGTCTAAAATCACTTTTCAGGTAATTATTGTGAAACGACATGATTTTTGCAGGCAAATGGCTACAGCAGATATGGGGTGCTAGACCAATGATTCTAGAGGAGTGTTGGTTAGACAACGAGCAAAAATTCTATTCGCTTTTTTAATAGTCTCAAGGAATCTTAAATTCCCATGTGAACAGGCAGACAGGTCCTTGCTTGAACATGTTTGTCAGTCTGCAAACTTGCTAAAAATTTAAACGCTAGCTCAATAGTAACACCTTCAAACAACAAAACTAGATTAAACACAATTGGATTAAAAGTTATGCAGAGGAAGAGAATGGAATATGAACTCACCCAAAGAAATACAATAACTCCTGATAACTGGTCACTCCAAAGAAAAATGGCTCAGAAACTAACTATCTAATTATCCAATTATCATGGAGTCCTGTAGCTCAGTGGTTAGAGCATTCGCTTTGCAAGCGAGAGGCCCAAGTTCAATTCCAGGCAGGGTGAAACCTTGGGCAAGTTTCCTTACTCCACACGCCTAATAATAATCCCTCCAAAACCAAAACCAATAATAAAAAAAATTGGTCATTTTCAATCTACGACTGTTTGTGGGACATTGCTGTGCGCAATTGGCTGCCGCGTTCGCCCACAAATATACAGTCAATTCACTTTACAATGTGTTCTGTGAAGCGCTTTGGGACGTCCTCCCGACGTGAAAAGCACTATATCAAATGCAAGGATTATTATAATATCTGGTGTGGTGAGTTAGACATAGCTCTGCAAGGCCACAAAACGGGCGCTGTGACTTGTGCAGGTACTCAGCAGAAATGTGGGCGCTCATGTGGGAGGCTTCTGGTCTACTGGAGAGCCATGCCGTAGCCCCCCCGTCCTATCCTGTCTCAGAGGCCTCTGGTCTATTGGAGATCTGCATCATCCTATCCTGTTATAGGATAGGATGAACGGTAGAGTGGGTCGCTTGACATGTTGTGTCGTAAACTATATACTGTATCCAGAGATATTATTTTCCAGGTGAATTTATCTAATTTGTTCTAGAACAAACAACATCTGGTTCTACTGTTCGGAACAAGATAAAATACCTTATCATGGTCTACATTATCTAGTGCCTTCAGAATCATAAAGACCATAATTATGTTGCCCCTCAACCTTCTCTTCTCCAGTGGAATATGCCCAGTTTATCTAATCCCTCATAGTCCAGTCCCTCCATTCTCTCAATCATTTTGGTTGCCCTCCTCTATAATAAGTGAGTTCAATTCCAGGCAGGGCGAAACCTTGGGCAAGTTTCCTTACTCCACACAGAGCCTAATAATAATCCCTCCAAAACCAAAAACAATAATAAATTGGTCATTTTCAATCTACGACTGTTTGTGGGACATTGCTGTGCTCAATTGGCTGCCGTGTTCGCCCACAAATATACAGTCAATTCACTTTACAGTGTGTTCCGTGAAAAGCGCTATATCAAATGTAAGGATTATTATTATTAATAATCCTTGCATTTGATATAGCGCTTTTCACATCTTCTAGATGTCTCAAAGCGCTTCGCAGAATATGCTGTGAAGTGAATTGACCATATATTTGTGGGCGAAACGCGGCAGCCAATTGCGCAAAGCAGTGTCCCACAAACAGTCGTGGACTGAAAATTGTTTTGTTTTGAAGGGATTATTATTAGGCGTGTGGAGTAAGGAAACTTGCCCAAGGTTTCGCCCTGCCTGGAATTGAACCCTCAATCGCAGCAATATCCTTTCTATATTGCAGTGACCAGAACTGCACTCATTATTCCAAGTGTGGTCTTACCAGGGATTTATGGCAGGATTACCCCACTATTTCGGCTCAGTACTGCCCTTTTAATACAAACCAGTATCTGGTTTACCTAACTCAATGCTACTGAGCACTGTTGTGATAAATCTGTTGCTGGGAAGTTGTGTGATGTACCTTTTCAGTTTCATTAAGTGATTCAGAAGCCTCAAAGTATGGATGAAAGGTTACAACCTCTTCATACAGAATGTCTTGAGTTGTTGGGTACTTTAGAAATATTTCTTACATTTCACCCTCTTTACTCACTCAAAAGTAAATTATGGATAGCCAGCACCAATCAGCTAACCACTGTTGAATGCAATGAGGGAGGCAGACACAATGTTTGTAATTGCAGAAGATTTGGATACATCTATGACCTTAAAGGAATTCAAAGACACTGGAATTAAAGGAATTGAAGCTTAGGCATCCAGCTGTTTTTACAACCTACCCAGCAAGAGAAATTTTCTGCCATCTCCATACAACTGTCGAAGACTGATGCAAAACTCGTGAATTGAGGCACCATTTCGATACTCATGCAAAAGCATAGCAAACTTTTGGATTTCTTCAGACGTGAGCTTTGTTCTCAGCTGAAAGACAAATATATACAATTACAATGCCTGGAATGGACCACATTGTAGTCCAGGCACAATTAATATTCAATAATTTTAATTCCCCAATGTTATTTCAGCATTAGCATATTTGATCCTCTTTAATACTGATTTATCAACTTTACATGTTGACAAAGACATGAAACTCACACCGGGATTATTCAATAAATCTGTTAAAACAGACATGAGTCTTTCCTCCAGTAAGTTTGAAATATTACCATCTTCAATCAGCAAATTGAAAGCATCCTCCACAAACTGATGGACGGGGGTCTGCATTAGTACCGAAATGTCAAGGAACCACAAATAGGTGTAGCAAATAGATTACTGAGCCTATGACATTATAGAATTGGACTGATAGCCCAATGGTAATCCTGGTTTATCAACATTCCCTTTTCAAAAGACAAGCTGGAGGTCAGAGACCCATGGGTGCAGGTGACAACTCAGTCAGGTACTGTCGAAGTTGGGCAATTTTGCGGCCGTTATAAGAGGGCCGCACTGTTCAAAATTGTTAAACCACAGTGGTTCTAGCCATAGTATCCATGTGATGATCAATACTTTGTGGAGCAAAGTAAAAAGTAGCTCATTATTTCTCCTGATCATCATTCTAAAACATTAATCGTCTGGGTTTTGATGTAATAAATTCTGACTTACTGTCAGCATGTAATCTTGAAGCAATTCAGCTGCAGATGCAGATAGTTCACCTTCACTAACATTTTTTATTTGAGGCGATGGCTGAGTAGAAGATGATGGTGAATTTCCACCTGCATCTGAGCCTTGAAAAGACCTGAATAAACCCCAAAAAAAGCAATATTAAAACACCTTAATGATGTAGCAGTGTGTTATAGCACAAAGGTGAAACAGAAAAGGTCAAATAAAATGCAGGAAGGATTCACATTTTATCAATTAAAATGCAGTGTACAACCCTCTATTGTAAGTCTGCCAATGTCTGAGATTAATATTTTTAGATGGTTTAAGACTCCACTTCAACACACAATATCTGGATTGTTCATATAGTTAATACAAAATTAATATTGAACTTGAAATAAAGCACATGTCCATAAATATGAAAGCTTGTGACAACAATGATACTTACAAGTTACTAATTTCTGGATCATAGGGCTCTTTAACATCTGCTTTACTTGAAGAATCATCTGTTTCCAAAAGAAAACTTAATTTAAGTGAAATCAAAGGGGAAACACCAATAGTGTGAATTGAAAAGTACTGTAATAGCATCCTAATAAGACTTCAATTTTGATCTTAACGAAACCAATCTCGCGAAGGAAGAAGTTGATTGCAGATGTAACAATCACACCTACAATTATATTGTTACCAATCCAAGTTATATAACATTTTTGTTAATTTGACATGCTATAGCTTATCAATTAGTTATAATTGTTCCCAACTGATGCCAAAGTAAACGATTACCTGACTTGTAGCGCGATCTTTAAATTATTGTTTGAATCAAGACATGCACGTTTCAAAATCAGGAGAATACATTTCCAATATTGATACCTCCTATATTACACACAAACCAAAACTTGGAAATACAGCCCAAGACAGCATTCCAGCACCCTAAGCAGGTCATAGAACAAAATGGACACGACTGTAAACCTATCTCCTAAGTACAAATTACAAGCGTTTCAAATGAAAATTCGCTCATCAGACCATACGTAACTGCTTGATTGCCACTACTTCCAGCATCAAGAGAAACAATGCAGACAGACACCTACAACAAAATACATTTCCAAATGTTCGACCAAACATAGAACTGGCACAAATATTCACACCATATAGAACTACATAAAACTTACTTTTACAGAACAATTATTTTAGCAAAGGCATAGAATACATTAGAATCTTGAAGAATAGTAATATAGGACCACTAGATAAAATGAATGGTCCAGGACCACCGAGAACTTGATAGGGGCTGTTGAGACCCTCTCCAAACCTTCATCAGCCCAGGCTTGATTATTACAATGCCCCGTTCGTCAGACTCCCCATCTTCTCTCTAACCAAGCAGCAGACCATCCAGAACTTTGCAGACCATATCTTCTTCTGCACAAAGCTCCACAAATACATTACCCCTTCACCTTCCCTCGGCTTCACCTGATCAGCCCCCAATTTGACCAATTTATTATTATTATTGTTTTTTTGAGGGATTATCATCAGATGTTATCACTGGCTCGCCTACAAGAGGAAGTGTCACTTGATTAAGCTATTGGGACATCCTCTTGACGTGAAAGGTGCTATACAAGTGTAATCTGTCACCACCTTTAAACACAGATGTGAAAACAAGTCTTAAAATAGAAACATTATCTATACAGGATAGTTTGTCATTGCAACAGTCAAAAGTGGAACCAAACACCTGAGGCACAAGAAGAAACCATAAAAGTGACCACAACCTGAGATAGAATTACACCAATAAAAGAAAGAGAATGGCATTAACAAAAACAAAATCACTATTTAAAACAATTACACAAAATACAAACTCCAAACAAGCATTAAAAACCCACTCCATATTGAAGCACTTGGGGAAGAAAAGTCACAGAACAATAACAGTAGTTCTCCAAATTGAAAACTATTAATGCAGCTAAGGCCTTCAATTTAACAAGGGAGTCAGAATTATGTAATAATACAAATCAAGCAACTTCCTTACAAAAAGATTAGTGACAAACATTTTGAATCGAGTTTAAGATTGCCCTGATATTTAAATGGTCTAGAATTTGAAAGTGAGATTAATACTCTTGGTGAGCTACTCTCTAGAAGTAGTTTAAAAGAACTTCCCTACTCAGGGGCAGATCATTTTTATTTTGCATTGGAAAATGCAACCTCATGGAGACTCACCGTTTTGGGTCTCCTGGTTGGCTGCCATTCATCTCAGCAGGGATCGGCATCCTTCTCTGTCCTTGATACCAATCCTGATGCTGAAATGCAAATATAAAGTTCAGTACCAGCTAGGACTCCATCTGGTAGGTCTTCATGAGGTTGCATTTTCCATTTCAAAACTTCAAAGGCTTCCTTTGAGTGAACTTTTTTTTAAATAAAGTAATTTGGACTGTATTTCTTCCCCAGAGTATTGTTGTTATATTCAAAAACATTCAAGATAGGTTCACAGTTTAAATGGAGACCCAAAAAGTTTCCCCTTTTCATCTCCACCACATAATTCACACATCAAGGAGAAAAACCTTCAATCAATCCAATGTTAAAAACCCTTACAATTACTTTCTTGTAGCCATTGACACTAGCTTTGAAGAAAATGTAATAGGCCTCAAGAAAGGGTATAAAGCATGTAACACAGATCACTTAAGAGACACGGCGATGCAAATCCAAAATCAATTATCTGAAGTAAGTGCATATTGTTTGGCTCATTAATGACCATTTCAAAATCTTGCACTCATTCATATTTGAGCTTTACAAATTTAGGTTTAGGCTACATAAATCTAGTTTTTAGTACCATACAGGCATGCGAATTTCTAGTGATAAACCATTCCAACAACAAACTGAAATTACTGTACATTCAAAAAAAACATTGCTACAGCACTGTGGAACACAGTGGTTAAACAGGTACCTACCACTATATATGGACATGTGCTTAGTTGGAGTAGAAGCACCATCAAATATTGCTCTATCCAAAAAGTCTATTGTGGATTCTGTGTAAACAACTTGGAAGACTTGACTAAGAAGAGAACAGAGTTCTTCTGCTGCTGCCTAAAGGAAGGAAAATTATGAAAGGACAGATGTTCATCCAAAAATAATCATTTTATCAGTATGTAAGAGTATCGAAGATACTTCCAAACATCAAGCATGTATTTAATGCTGTACATCACATCCCTGTCATCACAACAGTTAAGTATTCAAATTAATGTAGCCATGAAGAAATATTTGAACTTTAAAAAAAATCAACATTATGGATGTAAAATGCATTAGATGTTGTTGGTACCTGCACTTTAAGAATCACTTTAAGAACGAAATAGTTTTTGAAGCATTTGGACAGTGATCCTACTGTGAAATGTTACCAACCAATTGCTTCACAAACCGTTTTTTTTATTGGTGAGCAAAGAGAATGTTCAACCCCATTAACCTGATTAGACTGAATTGCATTCCACTAGGGAACGAGGGTTGTCCCCACAGATAAGCCCCCGCCCCCCGAACTCTTCTAGGTCCTAAATTATCAAAGGACAATGTGGACCTGAACTATGTCTCCATGACCACCAAGCAAAACAGGTGGTCGGATTGCCCCTCCGGTAAGGCAAGCCCAAGCAACCAAGTGCTCAAGTGAGTTCTGGCTTCCAGTATCTCCGCTTACTCTTTATGAGCGCAGATCAAACTCCTCAGATCGGAAGTACTGCAATACCGATCCCAACCAACAGAGGGTCGAAGGCATAGCAGTTGCCAGGGGCTCAATCTTTCCCATAAAAGCCCATAAATTACAGGTGAGATTCAATTGTACCATAAGCGAGTCTCAACAGGATAACATTTCTGGCAGGTGCTAGCCCAAGGAGTAACCGATGAGAACAGATATTACACTTGATCTTAGCACACTGGTAGTACAGGAATTACACATTATTGCTACAATACGTGCTTCATTTTTAACACAAATTAGATTAGAATGCAGTTGCACTACACAAGCAATTGACTTCACCCATGCACACAGCCAGCCTCTTACTTCCTGCTTTCACGCTGAACAGGCTGACTTCCAAGACATTAGGTCACCGCCAAAATCACATCCTGCTTTTAGGTGAAAGGGTGCACAAGTAGTGAAAAGTAGTTAATATGCTAACAAGCCTGTTTCCAGAACATCCCACATAATAATCCTTGCATTTGATATAGTGCTTTTCACGTCTTCTAGACGTCTCAAAGCGCTTCAGAATATACTGTAAAGTGAATTCACTGTATATTTGTGGGTGAAACACAGCACAGTAGTGTCCCACAAACAATCGTGGATTGAGTGACCAAATAATTATTGTTTTTTTTGAAGGATTATTACCCCTGGAAAAGCAATGCGCCAATCGAGTAACAACCGAGTCCCACTTACTGCTAGGTAAACAAAGGCGAGTGGAGTAAGGAACATTTTGCCCTGCCGGGAATCAAACCCAGGTCTCTCGCTTGCGAGGCGAGTGCTCTAACCACTGAGTTACAGGACTCCAAATAACTAAATAGATATAGCAATAACTAAAGAACAACTTCAGTCAATGCTTTCTTAACTGCAACGTTTTCTACAATCTTACCTCGGCAAGTTATCAGACAGATATATCCTTTTTTTTGGCAAGCTGGGTGATTGAGTTGTGCTTTCTCATCTGAACTAAGCCCTAGAGTGTGCTTTGGGGGGGACTGATGGCAGATTGTCACTATAAACACTGGCAAGCTTGCTGCTTGTCCAGCTAGGACCACCATACCCCTTAGGGCCTTGCCTTTCAGAGTTAAAAGGAGCAATGTTGGAAGAATTTGAGTCCCCAGTGACTGGTCAGCTCTTCCAAGTCCTGCCAACAAGCCAGGTTGGCTCATTATCAACAGTGGAGCACTGTGGACGTGCCCATCTCATGAATCAGACAAAGAGATTGCCACAGAGGATCTAATTATTCCCAATATTCTGTATCACCTTGGAGGCAACTCAAAGAGAGCATGCTTACCTCTCCCTCCCTCCCCAATTGCTTCACAAGAGTTGTGCTCCACCACTGTCAACTGCGTTGGGATGCTATCCTGCATGAGGGGCGCTTTATAAATGCAAGCTGTTGTAGTACCCTACACAGAACAATCAGCGGTGTGCCAGCTAAAATAATACCCAACCCAAATTATTTCTTTGAGATAAGTAAGTAGCAAAACTTTTCTGATCTGAACTATTAAGGAAGGGGTCAGATAGCCACTCAATTTTTGGACAAAGGATGCACGCCATGAGAAACCAATGGATATCCTTTACACTCCCAAAGAAGAAAATTAGGGAGTTAAGATGCATCCTGTGCATACCTATACCAAGTAACTTAAAGTTGTTCTCTTTTTATTCAACCTTACAAAAGAATGGCAAAATTGCAACCAGTTGGGTCAATTAGCAAGACCAAGGTTTTTTTTTCTTGAACTACAACATAAGGTCTGGTCAGATAAAGAATACAAAATATTGCAAGTAGTCTTCACAGAAAGCATTTGCATGGTAGCCCAAAATATAGGCATTTCACAAGTGCTTAACTTCCCAAGTGGATGCATTTGCAGCAGTGAGATCACACCCCACACAGTCCTGCAAATGTTAAATATCTGTAGGATTTCTATAGATTAGCAATAAAGCACCTGTTGGTCAGCTCAAGGGGATCTGGGTGACTTAGGCACTTGTGCAGACAAGATTCTCACCCAAAAATACCAATGCATACAGGTGCTTAATAAATACCTTGGTGATAAGAGGCCAAAAGGGAATAATCTGCAGTCCTAATGCATCTCCTGAAGCATGATAGTAATTCTATTTGTGCCAGAGGCTGAATGAATGAAGAATGTCATTCTTTACCCTAATTATCTGACTTCTGGGACAACAACATTGCTTGAACCAATTGTAATATTGCAACTTCAAGTTGATATTTATTTTTAGTTATTTCACATTTCCAAAAATATTCAATTCCAAATGTTTTACACATGAAAAGCAAATTTTATTAGGTGCTTACTTACTTTGTTCTCTGCAACTATCACCACCAGGCTGCAGGGATCCACAGCTCCCGCCCCACTTTCCGACAGTGTCTCTGATGTCTGTACTTTGTTAGTACCTTCTGTGCTTGGATTTGCAGAATTCTCAGGTTCACTGGCTGAAAGCAAACAACAATTAACACACTGAATGTTTTATACAACAAGCACTCCGTTGTATATAGTTTAAAATATTTTGTAAGATGCAACCAAAACAAACAAATTGCATTTATATAGCACATTTCATGGTAGTAGGATGTCCCAAAGCTGGATAAACAAGGATTAACACCTGATCTGTGGGGGCCTGAAAGAAGAGACTATACAATTAAACCCTGGCTAGCCGGACCAATGGGGAAGTGGGGGGGGTGGAAGGGGAAGAAGAGATGCAGTCTGGCATTAAGTGTAATTACAATGCAGGCACCAGCATTTACTGGCTTTTATCAGCGCCAGATTTATTCTGTGCCAGAAATGGCAGTACTAGCATTCTAATTGTTTGAATCCTGCGAGCAGAAGATAGTGAAAAAGCTGCTTCTACTTGTGGGATTCAAACCGAGTCAAACTCAATATCCCTGGCCAGCAACGACAGTGAGGTGGGGATACCCGCTAGGAGTGGGCTAGCGGGAGTCTACATCGCACGGGCCCGTGGAATCTTTACAATTATATAAATTTCAGGCCTAGTTCGCCTACGGTCAAATACTGGATACCCAAATTCTGGCAAGCCAGGGGTTACTATACATGTTTTTCCCACTAGTTTCATCTGTATACAGGATAAACGGTTAGTATCATGACATCTTTGTGAAAAACTTACAATGGAGATAATATAAATATGTAAATATACACACACACACATACATAAGACTCAAACTGTTTAAAGCAACCACCTCTATTTAGCAATCACACGCTGTCAACCACCATCCTGGAACTGTCCCGACTGTTTTTCCATAATTGACCACCTCTATTCACAAACACCTATGTAATGCAACCAGTGGACACACTTTTTTAAAAAGCTTTGTCGGTGTACCAACATCCTTTTCAGGGGCCATTTCTAAGTGAATTTAAGTGTACTTATGCATTACCAATTTCCACGAACCTGCATGTAGACTCCTAGTACATTTACCAACACCGTGCTGAGTAGCCCATGTGATGCTCACAGCTTCCTGCTTTACTGGTGATGCAGCATTGTTAGGAATCTAGTGGGAAACTACATGCAGGCCCGCAGATTTTTAAAAAAAGTTCTGGTCCGGTCAACAAACCATCAAACCCTTACTCAAAGGTCATCCTTACATAAATGCCACCTTGGTCCAGTCCCCTGAATGGTTGCTGAAAACAGTTCTGACTGTATTATATATATCATGCAAATGAGACTACTTTCCTTAGAAAGCCTTTCCAAAGATTACTTACAAAGCAATAAGTAGATTACTTTGTCCACTTTTTAAAAAAATCAGATGTGTTACTTAGCTATCGTCTTGTCTGGACTACAACTTCCTGAATGCACTACATGTCTGTGCTCTTGCTGGTTTATGAAACTATCATTCCTGGGTAGTTTCACAAACCAGCAGGGAGGGCAAAATACCACGCAGTGACTTGTTCTTCCTACACTGCCTGCAGTGCACAAATCAACTGGAAAAATATTATGCAGCAAGCAAAATTGTTAAGCCAGAGAGCATATACTGACTATAACAGGGGTGAACCTTCTTAAAAAAGGTACCAAAGTTTCAGAATGCAAGCTACATATTGCTTACTATCCAGGTGTCTGACTAAGGTCTATGGTGGGCCTATGTTTATAGCAAATCAGATAGATTTTTAAAAAAGAGGGATTAGGGGAATATGGGGAAAGGGCAGGTAACTAGAGTTTGGTCAGAAGATCAGCCACGATCTTATCGAATGGCGGGGCAGGCTCGAGGGGCCGAACAGCCTACTCCTGATTCTTATGTTATGTAAATCTGGACAAAATTGAATCAAATCCAACTTCCACGTGAACCACAAAGAGGCAGCTGCTTCAACCATCTATTTGCTATTTTCTCCTCTCTCCCAACCATTAAACATGTTGAAACACTTTGCAGTTAACATTTGACATATTGAACAACAAATTTTGCTTAATTGCACTCATTCAGCACTTAAGCAATATGCAGATACAGTATTAAGATAGAAAAGGCTTAAAAGACGATGTGAAAAAAATTGTATTTAATAATCAATACAACATCTACTCTTTTCAGAAGGCAAAATAATTCTCCTTTCTAGTTTCTTCGAAAACAATTCAGCACAGGGAAATAGTTGAGGGGATAGTAACAAAGAAAGATTGTAAAAAAGCGGTGAAACAGTATAATCTATTTTATTGTTGAAAACTATTTGATGATTTAGTTTACAAATTGTAACATTTAAGCTACATAGCATTAAACAATTCTATTTGTTCTCAGAGCTCCAGTCTGAATCGAGGTGACCATTTAGAAATATTAATTCCATGCATTCAAAATAAACAATTTGTATACTGCAGGGCTGTTTCAACCAACAGAGAAAAATAACTTCTAGCTTCCTCGACTTCTAGTTTTATAAAGAGGAGCTGAAGAATATAGGGGAAAAACATAAAATGCATTTTATTCCACCTTCTCCCACTCTCCACACACATACACATTAAGTTCTCTAGAACCAAACGGGTGAGGGACGGGGGTGGGGGGGGGAGACGGGGGGGGAGAAGAGTGATAGTGCATAAGCCATTAAAAACTGCTTGAAAAGCGGTACAAAATACTTCTAATAATTCACTAAACTAAGTTTGCCTGTAGAACAGCGCATATTGGTGAGAAGTCCACATTTGAGAATTTTGAAGAAAACCAAAGGTGTATAAATTGAACAAGGTGCACAGGAGCTGCAATCTTTGGCCAACTTCACTCATGTTTTCTTCCACAAGATATTAATTTGTATGGGGTAGCAAATCACAAAGGCAAATTAAATATAGAACCCAAGAAAGTGATCCTAACACTTTAGAAGGCATTAGTAAGATCACCACATAAAGCAGAACATCAAGCTGTGGTTACTATATTTATAAAACAATAATGACAGCAAAAAGCATTGAGAGGAAAGTGAAAGGCTAATTTCAGATTTTATTGTGGAAAGGTAGCAGGCAAGCCAAATCTATTCCCTTTGGAAGAGCTCAGAATGGGAATTGTAATCCAAACTGTTAAAATGGTATTCTACACAAAACCTGAAGACAAACTATTCTGTTCCCAATTTATGAATGCACTACTACTTTAGTACAGTGCATCATCATTTTCAATTCTTGATTTAAAGAGCAGAGGAATATGACTTTTTAGTAGGAAAAAATGACATAGAACGAAGATCGTTCTGAGCTATTCTATGATATTAGTAAGAGAAATGGGCATGCTAATCTACTTTAAAATTCCACAAGAGCAATACAAGTGAACATGATTTTCAACCCAAGATGAGTAAGTTTGCTTTTATGGGAGTGAACCCTATATGGCAATTGTGCGGATTTATTTTTAGAAGGCCTGACAATTAAAGGCAGCAGATTTTACAGTGGTACCACTATCCCCAATGTGTTTAAAGTAGATCAAAATAAAACTATCACAGGGTCTGACAATAATATCATGCACTAAAGTTGTGGATTAATATCAGACATTGCTGTCCAAAATAGAAGCAACTTCAATCAAGATCAATTTACAGTAATTACAGGCAAACTGAACTTGCAGTCTCACAAAAATGGCTGTTCTGTGAAATGGAAGTAGTAGGGGTGCCATGAGGTTGAGATTAAGAGACACTTAGGGGAGTGTACAGCCAGAATTCTCCGTCATCTAAATGTTGCTATACTTACCTTGCAGTGCTTCATGGACACTGAACGTAGAATGGAAAGTGTTCTATTCCTCAGTGGATAGTCTTCATCTTGGTGACCACAAAAATTCCTAACATACTTGCAAAAGCAATATTGTTCAAGTTGAAAATTTAATGCTAAAACACCACAAATATAAGCAGAAGAATGTAAATCCTAAAAAAGGAGATAAATTATAAGTTCTTTCAGCATAAAGATCTACAGTAATGAAACGCTTGGTATCCCAGCTGCTGTATGTTAGGAGGCTCCCTCCCAATATGCTGAAACTTACCAGTTTTAAAAATGACCAGGTGAAGCGAGTCATCTCGGATATAAGAAACTGCAGCAATGTCATGGATTGGAACTCTGAGGATGATATCTTCTCCGTCCCGCCACACCAGTTTAATATTGGTTGCAGACACACTGATCACTGCATCTTGTTCTTGTGTTAGTGGCCCTGGGAGCTGATGTGCCCTCTGAAAATTACGTGAAGTTACATCACTTGCACTATAAGCTTCTTCACACTACCTTTAACAAATACTCCCAAGGACAGGACCCAGAATGTATTTACTGGTTAAAGAATGAAATGCTCTATATTTTCTATTTCCAATACTCAACAACTATCTACTGGACCTGACTGGGGCCAGTAATGCATTTCATAGATTGGATTATGAAGTGACGGGGATCACTTTCAGGGATTCTCAGGTTGGATATGGATTCACTGGGGGCCACTATCCTCAGTGTTTCAGAGGCTGTATATGGAAATCTGTCATTGCTGCACTCAGTCCAGCTCTCGCCTGTTGCTTTCAGTGGCCTAAATGTTTGTTGTTGCAAAAATGTGTCAGCATTGTTACCAGTTTCATATTGCAAACTAAGTTGATGGAATATCTCGCAAATTATCTTCAGTTTGGGGAAGAAGGGGGCATTCACAATAATTAAATAATTTTTTATACTTATAGGGAAATATTACTGTAATAAACCCACCAATTTACAAAGGATTTCTGATAAAGATCAACAAGGACATAGCTTTCTAAACATGGTCCACTATCTCGTAATTTCCTAAAAGTAGCAAATACCATAGCCACTGAAGGTTTTAAAACTAACATTCCTATTAAATCCTTATTTTCAAACAGCAAAGCCTAATAATTAACTTGTGTCCCTCAAAAGTTTTATAATTAGTAAGTTTTATACAAAACAAATTTCAATAATAAATTATTCAAATCTATTGTTATTGTAGGATTTTTAAGGGGACATTATTAATACAATCTAGAGACACCATTTTTAGCTTTATTAATTAGCATTCCACAACAAATATTTTTCCATTGCAGCTCGGTGCACAATAAAATGTCTTAGTCCAGGGGTCTAATCTTAACAGGACTATTCTGTTGGTTGGTTTTAGGGATATAGATTGTGATTGTGTACTGACCTTACGGCATTAACACTTAAACTCTACTCATTCTCCTTCACCAATACATTGTGAACACAGCTGTACCACTTCCCTTGTCACACAAGTATCAAATACAGCACTACTCACCCTTGCATTATCTAATAAGTGCAATATCTCAGTTCGACTTGATGGATTCAGGTATCCAGGCACGGACGTGAGCTGTCCTAAATACTGGGTTTTAAAAAGAAAATACCTTAACCCAGCTCATTAAAAGTGTATCAACTCGTTCTAATGCAAACAATTCAACAACAACTTGCATTTAAATAGCGCCTTTCATGCGTTGTAGCTTCCCACTGCGCTTATTCAAAACAATATCTGAAGTAGGAAAAGATAATAGATAAGGACATTATAAATAATTCAAGTAACATTTTTATATAGTTACTCTGCATTATGGTGTGATTGTGCAGATGCTTTATTATAAGTGTACAACTATAATCTTGTTGTTGTAAATGATGCATGCTAAGACTTTTTCTGGAATTTTGCCAATCTCCAGAACATGCAAACATCAATCATTTACCTTTGTTCTAAAATAATTTTCACACATTAAAAATATCTACTACAAATATGTTTGAACTAACAGGTAACATGCTCAGGGTCGCTACCCTGTGTGAGTGGTGCTATATAAATGCAAGTTGTAATTACTTCACATATATTTGATAACTGTCTAAAATTGTCTATGGTTCAAATTATTATTATTTCAAGGGACTATTATCCTCGGAAAAACGATCCGCCAATTGACTAACAACTTTGTTCCTACTTACAGCTAGGTAAATAGCTATTTAATTTGTATTAAAGTTTATTTTGATTTTAAAACTGCTCCTTTTCAGAAAATACAAAGTTATATACAAATACATATCATATATATTAAAAAAGAGAAGATTGTAGACTACTGCAGATCCAGGTGCATTTCTACTACATTTCCAAACCCTTTTCCCCCTGAGACCTGTAACTTCAGATAACTGTCTAAACTTGACGAACACTAACAATTAAGGCTCGCACTATGTGTACTCAGTTGAATTTTTAAATTGCAATGCTTATTGATCTAGAAAGTGCTCATATTTAGTTTTTTTTGAGACTACAGTAACTGTTTTAAGTGAAGAATCTCACAAGGTAAAGCTTTAAGAAATTGTGGTTCATACCTTCACTTCCTTTTCAATGTAATCATTTAACAAAATCTCGGGGTCAACCCGGTGGTCTGGCAAAGCCAACGTAACTGTGTGCAAAGGTCTTCTTTCTGTAACCTTTTCCGGTGCTTTCTTATCACGCCCCTTTTCTCCTTTCAGGAAAACCCGTCTGAATGGTGACACGATTCCAGGCTAGAATACAAAAAAAACAAGGTTCGGTATATTGAAACACCATTCAAGAAAAAAATGTCAATTTTCAAATTTCCAACAAATGAATTCTTCATGAGAACATTGTAGGCTCAGGCCCCTCGTCGAGACTTTGAGATCAGTCTAGGATTACACTCGAATGCAGCACTGGGGATGTGCTGCATTGTTGGAAGTCCTACTGTATGGATGCGACGTTAAACCAAGGTCCTGACTGCCTATTCAAGTGACCATTAAAGATCCCCTGGCGTTATCTGAAAAGAGGAAGGGGTTTCTCCTGGTGTCCTAACACACAATTCTCTCAAATTATGTGGGACACTCACTTCATGACTAAACTGGCTACATTTTACTGCAAATTCTCAAGGAGCACTTTGAGACATTCCGATGACATGATAAGGCGCTACACCAAATGCAAGGATTATTACCTTTGCATTACAGAATCAAGCTACCTGTAATATATTAGTTAGAGCACTCGCCTCACAAGCGGGTTTGATTCCCAGGCAGGGCAAAACCTTGGGCAAGGTTCCTTACTCCCCACGCCTGTTTACCTAGCAGTAAGTAGGAACCCGGTTGTTAGTCGATTGGTGGATCACTTTCCGGGGGAAATAAACTCTTAAAAAATAACAATTTGGTCACTGAATCTACGACTGTGGAACAGTGTTGCGCGCAATTGGCTGCAACATTTCACCCTCAAAATAGTGAACATATATTTACAGTATATTCTGTGAAGATTCAATGACGTGATAAAGCGCTATATCAAACACAAGGAATATATATATTATATGTATTATTAATTTCGGAAATAGTCCCACTGCCCTGACCACTATCATCCTTTTTGAACCCCACCTTCAGAAGAGGTAGAAACAAATCCGAAAGTAGAACTCTTAACCATACACGGGACAGTTCATCATCGCAGTTATCAAAAGCGGAAACAAAAACCTGTAGCACAAAAGCCCATAAATGTGACCCCAGTACCATAGAGGCCACCACTTATTGAGAATAGATGCAGATAATGCAACATTTTAAGATTACTCTAAGTACATCAATAAAATAAAGCCAATGGAACAAATAATATCACTATTTTAGAAGACCAAACCAACTCTTAGACCCCCGAGACTGTAGAACTCACCTCCCTCAAGTGCATAGTTTTTTCAGAACCCCAAACCAGTTGAAGTTTGACTATTCTCATATCTTTGAAACCGATTATACTCAGAACAGTAAAACCACATAGCTAATGGAAGCGAGCTGGAGTTAGTCATGAAAGCTGAGGCAACAGATACTGCAAAGACACTTGTGGGAAACCAGGTGTTTTTATTGCTACTCAAAGCAGAAGTGGGTTCGCCATTGCAATAAACTGGTTAGAATTGTAAGAGGCAGCTTTTATTACTTAGATGCTGCAGCATGAATAATGGGGAAAAGCACTAACTTAAACAAGGCAATAGCAGTATTAAAGATGTTAAAGATCATGATGCATGCACAGATAGGTCATTTAATCTATCCATTTTAGTTTCATAAAAAGATAAAAAGCAAATTGTTTTTAAAAACTCAATTAACTGTACAAAACTGAATCTGAGATTCTGTCGTAATCTCAAACACCAGTAACTGAACAGGAAATTCAGTCACCACAGTTTCCTCCATAACTTGCTAACAAACACCCTTACACTTCAGTGCTGACAATAAGTGCTAGATACGTGTAAATGTGAAACCATCTAAAAACAGCTGGCCGGATAGACCAAAGCATTAAACAAACTTGAATATCAATTAATTACTGCATTATAGCTCACTATACTGCTACCGGAATAGAAATAATCATTCTATTTTTGTGCTTCCTAAAAGTCTACAACTATAAGGGGTGAAGCAATTTCATTTTTGACATATGAATTATATTCAAATAACTGGAGACATTTGGAACTTCAGATCTACAAAGTTGAAAGTCTACCCTGAGTTAGTTGGTGTGTGAAAATGACTTAAGATGCAGTTTGTCTGAGCAATTAGTATTAAGAAAAAAATCAAAACAACACTGTAATCTCAATCTTATCCCAATCTAGCATCACAGAACTGAAAATAAATCTTATGTAAAAAGCATGCATTATATTTCTGCATTCTAAAAATTCAGATTGCAGAAAACAAACTTTGTGAGGCAAGAAAAAACAGGATGCAGGGCTTCATTAGAGTTCAGTTTAAATTACCAGATATATCCTGAAGCTGTATATGGTGCCTGGTCAGGCTGCACCTGGAGTACAGGGTTCAGTTCAGGTTACTTAAATACAAGTAGGTTCCCCGAGGACCTAAGAGCAGCGCAGAGAGAGCGAGGCTGATCTTCAGCACTAAGGATACTGCTGTATACCTTGTGCTCTTCAGCCTCAAAGACACCCCCAAGATGGAATCTTTCAGATAATTAAGATATTTAATGGGTTAGACAAACTAAATATGGCTTAATACTTTCATATACACAGGACATAAGAAGTTCAGGTTTGTGAGTACATTTAGGAAAGTCATCAGGAAGTACTTCTTTACACAGATCAATCACCAGCTGGAATGGGCTTCACCAAATGCAGTTGAGGCCAGGACACTGGATTAATTTCAGTAACAGCTTGATGTTATTGTAGCATGATATAATAATAATAATCCTTGCATTTGATATAGCGCTTTTTCACGTCTTCTAGACGTCTCAAAGCGCTTCACGGAATAGACTAAAGTGAATTGACTGTATATATTTGTGGGCGAAACACGGCAGCCAATTGCGCACAGCAGTGTCCCACAAACAGTCGTGGATTGAAGTGACCAATTTATTATTGTTTTTTTTTGAAGAATTATTATCAGGCGTGTGGAGTAAGGAAACTTGCCCAAGGTTTCACCCTGCCGGAAATTGAACCCGGGTCTCTCGCTTGTGAGGCGAGTGCTCTTACCACTGAACTACAGGACTCCTAGACGCAGGAGTACATCGGAGATCAATTACATTTGTATAGCGCCTTTCACGTCGGAAGGACGTTCCAAGGCACTGGATAGCTGGAGGGGGCAAGAATAACCTTTGAATCTATTGTCTTCAATCTTCAGTAGCATTTCTTAGCTTCCGCATCCACATTACTCTATCCCTACCTATCCGATTTGCTTACACCCCACTCCACCACCCACTGTCTGCACTTGGCTAGCTCCAGTCTCCTGTTTGTCCTTCATCCCCTCCGTTCCACTATCAGTCCCGAAACTCTGGAACTCTCCACCTCAACCCCTCCACCTCAACCCCTCCCCCCACTTTCAAATCCCACCTAAAGACCTTCCTTTTAGATTGTGCTGACGGTCAGATTCCCCCTCCCTCGGCTCAGTGTCAGACTCCGTCACTGTCAAGCGCTCCCCCACGTGAAGGGCGCTGTATAAATGCAAGTTGTTGTTACTCTACCCTATTTACATATTGGCACTACATTCATCTTAAAATACGAGAATGAATGCTTTGAGGGAAAGTATGGAAATCAGAAGTGACTATGCAGGAAATACTAAAAGTATGTAAATTATGATCAAAGGTCTTGTGCATCTATATTGGTCACATACCCCATCCCTATTTCTTTGGCAGATCACTAGTTTCTATAATCATGTGTTTCTCACGGAAAGCACTCTCCTAAAGCCGTTAAAATTGTCATGTTTGCACATACTTAGCCAGATTGATTGATATATATAGATTGATTGATTGATTGATATTATAGATTGATATAATGTTCAGATGAGGTAGGGGAGGAAGGCAGGTTAAAAAAAGCTCTCTTTAGCAAAAATTTCCATTATATGCAAAAATCCAGATGCTATTCATCTCTACCCGTAATAAAGAAGATTTGACACAACCCACATAATACTCTTGCTGCAAGTCTCTATTCTGTCTGCAGGAGTGACTGCGGCAGAGGATCATACTGACCGTTTCCCCTGCTTGTTCTGCCCAACCACTAGTGAATTGAGTTTGCAGACTTTTTGTCCCTGCTCTCCAGACCTTAATCCCAGAGACCCTCTACTCCTTCAAAACTTGTCTTATGACCCTCCTTTTTGACTATGCTTTGTCAAATGTCACGAGGCCATTTGATTTTATTGTTGTAGGCCAAACATTACATGTTTTTCAGTTCTACTGAATCCTGTTCAAATCCCTATAGTGTATGTAGAATTGTGAAGTTCTGTAGCTCTATGGTTAGAGCACTCTCCTCGCAAACGAGAGACCTATGCAGGGCGAAATTTGGGCAAGTTTCCTTACTCCACACGCCTCTGTTTACCTAGCAGTAAGTAGGAACCCGGTTCTTAGTCAATTGGTGAATCACTTTTCCGGGGATAATAAACCTTAAAAATAATTTTGGTCACTTCAATCCACAACTGTTTGTGGGACACTGCTGTGCGCAATTAGCTGCTGCATTTCGCCCACAAAATACAGTCAATTCACTTTACAGTATATACTGTGAATCGTTTTGAGACATCTAGAAGACGTGAAAAGCGCGATATCAAATGCAAGTATTATTATTATATCCTCAAAAAGTTCATTTAAAAATCAGCAACTATCATCAGTTAACCTGCAATTCTCCCCCTCTGCTCAGGTGAAATAGGCAGCTCAGCCCTCTCTTCATGCCACCATTGGTGGTCATGCCTTCAGCCACTACACCTCTAACACCTGAAACTTGCTGCTTGAATCCACCCTTCTCACTACCATTTTATCCATTTAAATTTCACTTTAAGACGTACCTCTTCGACCACGCTATGGTCACCTCTCCCTTCCCCCTTCTCCCTTGCTTAGCAACCAACCCCACCACTGTGCAACACTCTGGAGACACTATCCTGTGGAAAGGCTGTTATATAAATGTAAGTTATTGCTGTTGTGGTATTAAGTGATATGTCTTGGGGGTCTGGAACCCTCCAGTTCCCAAGATATGTTAATGACCTTGATTTGCAGACCCATTGTAATATATTTGCAGATGACACCAACTTTTGGGAGGGGGTGGGGGAGGGGAAGAGTTCCAGGACTT